TTGTCATAAATATTAATTTAATAGGGCTGGTACTATTTTATGTGATGCAAATGTAGAGATTGAGGAAGAGATGAATTTTATTGACACAGGCTCTTACTGAAACTTAAGGGAGCTATAAAAGAGCCCAGATTTACAGTGTATCACAGTCTTGAAACTGCTTGAAGAAAAATACAGATAATAGGATATATCTTCCCAAACACTTTCTTTCTGTCTCTTACACACACACACAAAAAAAATAGGCTGCCCAGTATTTTCTTCATCTTTTTTTGTAGCCTGCTTTGGCTGACACTCATGGCTTACAGTTTGAGAAGCTGCTTACGAGGTGATTGTTTAATTTTGCAGGGAGATATTTGACTACAGGAGTTCACCTTCCTACCTTGCTGCATAGCAGGGAGCCATTTGCTAGCTATACTCACAACCAAACCCATTTTAAAAACAAACATCTATCAGCATACCATATTATCAACTTCTAGAGCAGTCCACCTAAGCCTTGAGAATTGCCTTTGGTTGCTGGTCACTTTAGATACAGCTGTAATTTCCTGATTTTTGAGAACCTCCACTCAGGAATGGAATCCCTTGGGGTTTACTAGTTACTCTGAATTGCCCTTAGCACAAGTTCAGTTCAGAGGAAAAACAAGGAGGGAAATATTTTCACGACATATAGATAATATATTTTAGAACGAACATACAATTTTTATTTATTTTTTTTAGATCAGACAACAAACAAAAGTATTCTTTTCCTGTGTCTTCCAGTAATGAATTGGTCAGGATCCTTACCAACATGTGACTATGAATCTTGTTCATAGGCAAACCATACACATTCCAGATTGCCTTCATGGAAGAGGTCGGAGATTTGGCAATGTGTATAGCTCTGACCTGAAAAGCCCCCTTGTGCCTTTTTTAGATTGAACTCTGAACACCCATTTTCTAAATTAATACGGGTATTGCTTGGTTGCAATGTTGAACTATTTTTAAAGCTGTTTTGAAAAGTAATTCCAAAGCATCAGTTGTGGTGATGTACTTTGGGTACGTCCAAGTAGAGCCATTTTCCCTTCAGAATGTGGACTAAGTTTATTAGTTAGGTATTAAATGCATTATTAAGGTTTTTGTTTATTTAACTGATGTCAGAATTAACTGTACACACGTCGCAGCTCATTTGGAGGAAAATATCCCTTGCAAACCAGCAGGAAAAAATCACCTTACTGTATAACCTCTTCAGATCTTTTAACTTACATAAAAAGCATCTATTGACGTGCCTACATCCTACCTTACAAAAACAGGTAAGCTGGAAACACTGACTCACAGAATAGCTGAGGCTGGAAGGGACCCCTGGAGGTCATCTGCTCCCAACCCCGTGCCCGAGCAGAGTGCCCAGGCCCGTGTCCAGGCAACTTTTGAAGATCTCCAAGGAAGGAGATCCACAGCCTCTCTGGGCAGCCTGTGCCATGCTCTGTCACCTGCACATTAAGCAGTGCTGCCTGGTGTTCAGAGGGAGCCTCCTGTGTACCAATTTGTGCTCATGGCCTCTTGTCCTGGCACTGGGCACCACTGAATAGAGCCTGGCTCCGTCCTCTTGGCACCCTGGCAAAGACAAGGTATTTTTTGCAAAACCAAAACTCGTCTGGCTTATTATTCCTCTGGACTGAAACTGGGCGTGATCGTAATCAAATGCATTGGGGCTATAAGCCTGGAATGAGAGATCCTTGGTCTGTGTGGGCATGGAGACGTGGTACTGCCCTCCCTCTAACTTCTGCTTTGGCTTTCTTTAGTTTCGAAAGCTGTTTCAGAAGTGGCATGAGCAGTCACATTGGTGATGCATTCAATACTATGTTTATTTTACTACTTGGTAAAGAATGCTTTCCCTTTATTGTATTTCCCTTCTGTGTGCTCAGTTAATTGTCCCGCAATTGTACCAGAGCAGTTGTTCTTGGTACTGTGCTGTAGACTGAATCAATTATTTGGTTTGCTTTGAAAAGAAAACCAAATAATGTATTGTAAGTTAGGGTTGTTAAGCATTATGGTTTACAGCATGGTCTCGCAGTGGTACTGGAGACTTAGCTGAACGGGCTTTTATTTCTGGTGCAGGTCAGGGCTGGAGGGTGGCAACGTTTCAGACAGTGTGAAAATTGCATGAAGACATACTTCTCTCTGAGAAAACCCTGCCCACAGAAATGATTTTATGAAGTTCAGCGGTGGGGAAAACACTTTTTTAAAAATAGGATTTCCGTGATAATTTCCAAATCCAGCGAGAGACCGAGCTTGCTCCGTGATTACAGATGCCCCTGCAACATCTTTTGCTACTTAGAGGTGCTCAGCACGCTGTGGTGTGGTGGGTGCCTCAGGGCCTCTCATGCCATGGTGGGTGTCTCATGGCCCCTCATGACGTGGTGTGATGGGTGTCTCAGGGTGCCTCATGCCACAGTGGGTGCCTTGGGGCCCCTCATGATGTGGTGTGGTGGGTGCCTCATGGCCCCTCATGCTGTGGTGTGGTGGGTGCCTCATGGCCCCTCATGCTGTGGTGTGGTGGGTACCTCAGGGCCCCTCATGATGTGGAGGGTGCCTCATGGCCCCTCATGCTGTGGTGTGGTGCGTGCCTCAGGGCCCCTCATGATGTGGTGGGTGCCTCATGGCCCCTCATGAGGTGGTGAGTGCCTCATGGCCCCTCATGCTGTAGTGTGGTGGGTGCCTCATGGCCCCTCACGCCACAGTGGGTGCCTCAGAGCTCAGTACGGCGTGAGGGTGGCCGGCATGACTTGCCCGTGTTCTTCCCGCTCAGGGCTCAAGGTGGCAATGTTGTCAGCACAAGGCCAGGTGAAGCCAACCCAGCACTTGGTTGACTCATCCCTTGAATATTGCTACGGTGTTTATTTATTTGTCCAGAACTTTTTCTATGATCAAAAGCTGTGCGTCCGTGAAGCCATAGTGTGCAAAAGAGAGATTTGCTAAGGTTTGTGTGCCATTGTTTGTGCACTGCTTTTAATAACCTGGTACATTTTCTGTTTTGAAGGTAGTGATGAGCAGTGACCACACTGCTTACGCTATTTTCTCCCCCATCCTCTCTGGATAACGCTGAAGAAGGCTGTGTGCTGTTGAGTGTGCCACCTACATTCTTCAGGACTTTTTCCTGCTTGTTGCCCTTGACCTTGGGATCAGTCTTTGATCGGGGAGCAGAAGCCATCTCCTCAATTCAGCTTCCATTTGTGCAAAACACTTGTAAACGTTTCAAAAATGCAGTGTAATTTTGTCCTCCCCCTCCCCCAAGATGTTTACAAAGTCCAGCCTTGAAGCAAGCTTGCCAGAGGAGAAACTGAGAACTTTCCTGCATGCCATGGGTTTTGTTCACAGCTACCTCCTGGCTATGGCATGCTTTTAACCTGCTGAAAGCCTAACAGACCCGTTCCTGGGGTTGTTTTTCTTTCTAACTACTTCAAATGATCCTTTCCAAGACTTGTGTCTTGTGATTTTTTAACATTTTATTCTAAGGCTAATTTTCCATCCTCAAGGGAACGTACGCAAGCTTTTTGGTTTGTTATTCCATGCCATTCCTTTCGACTCCTATATCTCAATTCCGCTGTGGTAAATCCATCCTTGATTTTAAATTATCAAGAAGCCTTCAGACGTATTTAATGACTGGGCTAACCTCTCATTCTGTGTTCCTTACCAAGGCTCTCTGACAAGGCATAAGATTTCATCCACTTAGGAGGTCAAATAGAGAATAAAATAAAATAAAATAAAATAAAATAAAATAAAATAAAAGATGTACCTTATGGTAAGCAGAGAGCAAATAGGATGACATAAATTTTTAATTGCCAACCCCCCTAGTTGCATTTCTTTACAGCACACATTAATTTTTTGTTGGGTTTCTTATCTAGTTACTTACTGTTTTTCACAAGGGGGGAAGGGATAGTGCATGTGCCTAACCCTGTGTGATTCCTAGGAGTCTAAATAATGAGTCTGTAGTTTTGTCATTCCCCTTCCTCTTCCTTATTGGTACATTTCTTGGGAAAACATACTACTAGGTAAATATACGTGGGGAAATATACTACTTACTGCATTCAAATTTATACTGAAGGCTTCTGGCACTGTTTCAGTTTCTCTTAAAGACTGATTGCTTGATAGCAAAATTTGTTGCTGTGTGGACACTTTGCCTACCACCACTTTTCTTCACTCTGTTGTGCAAATGGTCCAGCAGTTGTCCATGCATAGCTGGGCAGTGGTTCTTTAGTATTACGATAATGGTTCTTTAGTATTACGATAATGGTTCTTTAGTATTACAAAAGGGTGAAGATAGACTTTCAGAAACCAATTGGGTTTCTGGAGCAGTTTGGCTGAAAGTGTTCTGTTCTGTCCCTCCAACTCAAGTGACAAGCAAGTGAAAACTTTTTGTCTGAGAAATCTGTTTTACTGAGGTGTGTAGGAGGCTTTTCCTTTTACAAATTCCAACTGGAACACCAACCTGCAACCCCAAACAGGGAACAATTTAAGATACGGTGGGATATTACCACAGTATTAACTTTTTGTAATTATTTCTTTTCGTAATAATTGCATTATCGGTCATCTTACTGCCTTAAGAATAGAGTAAATATGGAGAAATATTTTATCTTTGGATATCCGTTGGACTTTTCTTTAAGCAGTAAGTAAAATGTTCTGTGAGATGGCATTCTGTTTTGATAATTATAATATGGTTGTCCAAGCAGCAAAGCTAAGCAAATCAAGACAAAACTTCTTCATAAAATTTTCACAATGAAGGAAGTAGATGCTACGTGCAAGTATAAAACATGGAAATAAACACATTTAGAGTTTTTGTTTTCTCCTTCCAAACCATAGCCCTCATAGCTATTAGGAGCCTGAAACAGTAAACAGCTTAGTAACTACATAATTATATCAATAAACCTAACATCAAAATAAGGCCCAAAATTTATGTACAGATGGTTCCATTTTACATTATAAAGGAAGTTTTCTGAAGTCCATTTGCCTAAAACAAAGTTTTTAATGGAACAGCTTAATGATTTGACCTCAGATCTGTGTATCCTTTTTTGAATGTAAATATGAATACCAAGGCAATTAACTCAGTAATTTACCAAGTCAGACTGAGTTGAAATTATGTAGGTAGATATTGCTTTAAGCGTAGTTGGCATGCTGTCTCCTGTGCTCTGATGGAATCTCGTTCAAGTGTGTGTCGGCCCTGCTCTTGCTGTCTTAGCACTGGGGATAGTTCACCCTCAGGAAGTTTGGTTTAGATAACTATCTGAATTTTTTGGGTACTGAAATCTGGAATGCTGCAGTGAAATCTGATGAGAACAGGCTCTCAGGATTGAGTCAGCAATACAGTTGGATCAGCTTCTGTTGTTCAGCAATTCCACTGCCAGTTCCAGCCAGAAACAAAACACAGAGACGCAGGAAAAGAAAAACTAGAGGAAAGAAGAGGGAGTGTACTTCAAAAAAGTACGGGCAAACTTCAAAAAAGAGTTTGTGGAGGCTGTACACAAAGGTGAGGAGCTATGAAGGAATTGCCATATTCTCCCAGTACCAGCCTTCCAAACCTCAACACGAGTTTTGGTTCTCAGGGGGCTCTGCTCTTAACCTTAGGCAAACAGGACAGTGCATTTTTAGCAGTTGGCATCTGGGCTGTTTCATACACCAGAAGCAAACCTATGAAATTAAGGTGTGTTTTTTTCTCCTGCTTCTAATTCTTTGCAGTTAAAAGTATAGTGAGTGTTGCAGGTAATCTGTTTTCAATCAAAATTTTCATCTTGGAAAAAAAGTTGTCCACTCGATGAGCTGACAATGTAAGCAAGAAATGTACGGAAAAGTAACTAGGAGAAGGAAGTTGGCATTTTTCTCACTTTCTCTGAGTGTTACTTGATTTTCTGATCTCTTTCTCTGCATTCGTTGGTTTCTAAATGTTCCTCTAAGTTCCAGAAGAGAAACATGCTGCTCCCTCCTGAAGTCAAGTAAGCTCCTGTGGTTTTGCCAATTAACATGTTTTATTACTCGTACTACTGCCCTGTTACTCTTGGTGGAAAATAAAAATGTGAAAGGATCTTTAGTCTTCTGAGTTTCAATTTATGCTTTATTGTCCACTTCTTCTGTCACTTGTAGATGGAGTTCAAACTACTTCCCAGGTTTTGCTGAGAAAAAGCTGTCCGTGACTGATGGCAATGGCTGTTTGGTACAAGTCTTGTGAGTCACCCATTCTTGGAGTGGCCTCCTGAAACATACCTGAAGCTTAATCCTGTGTAACGCACATAGGCGGAAGTTCTCACTGACTTCATTCATTCTTTTGGCATCCCAAAGCTATTCCTGGTGATAAAAGAATAATAGAGTGAATTAGCAGCCAAAACACAGAAGAAGAGAATGAATTTAAGCTTCAGGGAAGCTCAGAACACACCCGAGCTCTAATCTTCTTGTATACCTTGTACATACCTAATCCTCATCCACACTTCAATACTACAGATTAAATGTTCGTTTTTCAGAAATTCTTATGTCTGCTTTTCAAAAGTGTCCTATTTATGATTTACATATATTTACGTTTTTATAAGGTGAAGGTTATTTTAAAAAAAAAATCATTTCTGGAAAACAACAACAACAAAAAAAGAGAGTCTAAATCACAGAGATATGGATAAAAAAAAAAAAGTAAGTTTCTCTGCATAGAGTATAAAATAAATGAGAGAGCAGAGAAGAAAAAATGTCAAGAACCAAGAAATCTATAGTATTTCTCAGTGGCTGCAAGCCACCTTAGCTTTTGCTTAATTTTAGAAGGTATTGAGGGCATATTTAACTTTCTTTGCCTTTTAGCTCTGAAAATCAACCTGTTCTACTGATCTCTAAATAATTTCCACTACTTTTTATTTTATTTGGCTAGTAGAATATTTTCCTTGTATTTCCTCCTGCTTCTGTTTTTTTTTTTTTTTTTGTCAGAAATAGAAACTTCTTGCACTTGCGTTTTTTCTCATCTTGTTGCAAAACATTTTAAAAAAATCCTGCCAGTTATGTATACTGATGGCTCTCTGTTGCCATCAGTGAACTTCAGTTGTATTTTTATATGTGTATGTGTAGCAGCACAAATTGCCTGTTTTTTTTTCAGTAGCTGCAGGATGCCATTGGCTGCATAAAGCTGCCTAGTGCTTTTCCAGGTCTGCTTTAAGTTTTATAAATTGAAATGAGTTGAGTCTTCCTGTTGTCAGATTTTCCAACAATACCAATTAGTACACATGATACATCACTTGAATATTTGTGACCTCTGGAGAAGAGGGGGGAAAAAGTGGTTTTAGGTTTTCTAGCTGCTCAGATGTGGCCAGCTGGTGTAACCAAGACTTGTGGGTTTCTTACCAGGAAAGCAATGTGTTTACCTCCTTTGCAGTTCTTCAGAGAGCAGGTTTCCTTAAAAAAAAAAGTCATAGATAGCATGAGGTTGGTCAGTGGGTAGACATTTATTTGACCTCTTAGTATCAAGCCCTTACATTTGGAGAAGACAACAACAACAACAACATTACTTATTTCTTAAATTGCCACAGATGGAGTGAGAAGGTGGGGAACTGGGACTGACAGACCACCTGCAGGTTTTGGAGACATCTGGATCTTGATGCTTAGGGCAATGGCTAAGCAGATAGAATAACCCTAACAGCACACAGCTTATTAATTATGTTTAATACTGAAAATGATGCAGCTGTCTTGCTTAGTGTTTCCAGAACTTTATTTTTTCATTGTGGTCAGTCATCATTGGGTAATTTATATCGCTTTATCCCAAATATTTACACAAGAAGTGTCTGTGGACACTTTAGCACTGCCAGTCACACTTCCTACCTGTTCAGGATAAGTTTTGGCTTCTTTTGGGCTCCTTTTGTATTTCCTGCAAAAATGATTTTACTAAAATCCACACGTTAGGGCTCTGTTCTTTTTGAAATGATATATTGTAAACTTTTTGTTGTACAATTAGAAATGTATGAAATAGAAAAGTATTTCTTGAAGTATTCCCTCATCACATCCTCTGGAAATTAGTTTTTTCTTGTATTTTTTTTTTCATATTCCCTCACCTACCTCCTTCTTGCTCAATTGGAGCGGTGGAATTAGGGAACTCTTTGGCTTCATCCTAGATTTGGTGCCAGCTATTGTTTCTTTTCCTCCTCATTCTTTTTGTTACAGTAATGTATTAAAATACATGAAGATTTTTTTTTCCAGGCAGGACATTGTATGGAAATTTTAAAAATTGTCCCAGAAATACTGGACTAAGTGGACTAAATGTGTTGGAAGGAGTTAACTTCCTGACATCAGTTTAATGGAGAATCTCTCATCTATAATTTTTAGCTAACACTTTAAGAGTAGCATAAAATTATACCATTTGTTGTTAATTTGCTCTGATAGATACTACCTCGGATATAATGTGCATGAAACTAAGGAAATGCGGAGTTGAAATTCCAACTCTATCTTTTTGTTGTGCATTAGAAGAAGGATGTAGTATAAAAGTAGAAAAAAAAACACAACCAGATTGTGTTCCAAAATCATGTTTTATGAGGAGGGCAGCTCACCACCTATGCAGGTATTGCTATCATGTCATGATCTCTCTGGAATTTCTTAACAGAGGGGAAAAAAAAACCAAACAAACAGCCCAGTGACAACGCATGACTGGTTCACTTGGCATGCTTCTGCAGAGTGCCTTGAAGGAAGGCGAAGTACAAGGAAAGTATCATAAAAGCTGGTGTCTAAGCTGATTTAAGCCCACCAGGGACGGGAAGCGTGTCTGAAGCAGACGCTCCTATTTAGGGCAGGCAGAAGGGATACACGGAGTGGCCACAGCGCAGCTTGAGCCCACGTAAGGGCTTCTGGCTGAGTCACCCTCGCCCCTCGCTAGGTTTATACAAGCTCTGTCTCTTGTGGGGAAAGCAGTAAACACCAGAAATGATACGCAGTCTCCTAAAAGCAGCCAACCCTAAAAAAGCCCTCAAGCACGCTGAAACGGGTGGAGAAAAAGGGAGGGGAGGAAAAAAGCAAAAAAAAATGGCCAGTTCGAAGGTCCGAAGGCTTCGTGCCTGCCCTCCATTCCCGAGCAGCTCCCGCTGCCTTGAGCGGTGAGGAGGTTTTCGTGCGATGGAGGGAGGGAGGGAGGGAGGGCAGGCAGCAGCTGCTCCCAGGTCCCAGCGGCTGTGCCGGGCCTGGACTTTCCAGGCCGTGCTGGTGGCGAGGCGGGGAGCGCTGCCCTGACGTCAGGAGCTGCTCCTGGGAATGTTTTGCATTCCTCTTCCTGGCAGCGGTCAGGTGGCTTCCAGCAAGAAGGAAGGAACAGCCGCTTCCAAAAAAAAAAAAGGAGGGGGGAGAGAGAGAACGCGAGGAGGAAAAGAACACTTTATAATAAAAGTATTGTGGGGGAGGCACTTTTATTAAAAGCCAGATTGGAAATTAGAACCAGATGTGCTGCATTCGAAAGCTGCACAAATGTTAAACGCGTCTATTAATGACTGTGATGGCTGAGGTATTTGGCTATCTGCCTCGCTTTAATCTCTTTGCTCTGTATTTAAAAACAGTTGAGAAAAACAGATTTTTTGTACCCGACTTCAGGCAGCTTCCTTTTATACGAACGTTTAAAGGCAGAAAAAGGCACGGCTCTTCTGGGAGAGGAAGGCGCACAGATAATAAAGCAAGAAGCAAGCAGGGAAACGGTCACTGTGCGTCTTGTTCTTTTGTTAGTCTCAACATGTGTTGTGCGCTAAAAATTAACATTCATTACAACATTAACTTCAGTGTGCTTCTTGATTTGTGGTTGCTGGATAATACATAGGATGAGCTGGAGAGGTCAGAGCATGTAATTACTCTTGTTCGCAAAGTGCTTCCTATTCCCTGAACTCCCTCCTTAATGTCCCTGTCCAAGTGTGTATTTAAGGGAAACAGCAGCAGGTCCCTGTTCTGACATGGGTAACACAGGAACTGAACTCATCACAGGTGGTAACTGTGAAATAACCGCTTCGTAGCTAAAGAGAGACCTGCGTGCAAGGTACATTTCCTAAGCGTTTGTGAGCAGGAAACACGGAAGGCTCCTGGAGGAGCTCTGCTTTATGCTTCGGGGGCACAAGATACTGATAGTGATGTGCCCTGTACAAGCAGATTTGGCTGTCTGCCACAAAGCACACCCCTCTGCCATCGCAAAGCTCCCTTTTAGGTGGGTTTCCAAGTTTTCTGTGTAAAGCAAGGACCACTGCGGGGAGGCAGCTGAGGTCCCATCTCCTTTCTGCTTGCAGACGTGGTGCTGCCCTGAGTCCACAGCAGCTTCATGGTCACGAGACAGGGACGTGATTCCTTTCTTTGTACCTTTTTGGGAACCACCCGCTCTGTACCTGGTAGGGCATGGTGATGGTTTTTATTTTATTTAAGATTTCAGATATCCACAGGCATGAACAGCTCCTGCCCCGTGGTGGATTTAGCCGGGCTGCCCCTGGCCAGGCTGGACTCTGGCTAGCACAGCCCGTATGGCTGCAGTGCCACCACGGAGCCCAGTCGGCCTCCTCGTCTGGCGTGGCGTTTTCATCTCATCTCTCCTTATCCATCGCTGAATGAAGCTTAATTTCTCCTCTCATTAGCTGAGCTGATTGTGCGGGGAACACGTTCCCCGGGGAGCGGTGCGGGAAGCTGGGAGGAAGGGGAGCGCTTGGCGGCCTCGGCGCAGTTTTGGCAAAGCCGCGCCTGGAGCTCAGGTGAGGCCCGTGAACGCCTGCGCCTTTCCTGGTACGGGCTGAAATGGAGAGGCCGCTTCCTGCTACAGGGCGGGTGCTTTGCTGAGGAATTTCCAGCAATGTTGAGAAGTGCTGACTCACAGTATGCAGGCAAGGGCTCCAGCTGAGCCTGGGCTGAGGGGAGGGCTGCGAAGCGAGCTCTTGGCTGAAGGCAGCGAAAAATGTTGCTGTAATGTACTGTTTTATTTTTAGCAAGGGGGGCGGGGGGGAGAGGCTGCGTTGCTGAGGGTGAAATGCTTGCTCGTGGTTTCAAAATGACAGACACTTTGATTTTTTTTTTTTCTCTTCTATTTTTAGAATTTGGAAAACAGGTTGTTTTGCTAAAATACAGACGCTTCTCTGTTTCCCCAGTAAACGGGTTGTTGTAAAGGAGCCTTACGGAGCTCATGCAAGAAGCCTTTTACCACCACCGTGGTTCCAAATATCCTTCAGAGCAGGAGATACCAAAGTATTTGGGACTGAAACTAATTGGCACCTACTTGCATGTATTTCTCACTTGCTGAGGTGGGACTGCGGCTCCAATTGTTGAAATTGAAACCTAGCAGGTATTTGATTGCCTCTATTACTGATCACCATGAAAGCTTGGTGCTTTGGTTCTGTCCTTGTGCTTTTAGCAGTCACTTCGCAAGTATTTTCCCTTCTTTCTGAACAGAAAACAACGTGGTATACTGTTTTCTGCTGGTGTTGGCCAGAAGCTAGAGAGAAGGAGGAGTCACTTCAAGTTCTACCACTTCTCAAAATTTAATTTGTCATTAAATTGTAGGGACAAAGCTCTGTCTCTATTTACATCCAGTACTTTTTTTTTTTCTCTAATGTGTTCTTGTGTGCGTGTATTGTTTGAACGCTGAACAAGCACTGAGTATTTTGGACTGATCTCTGTAGGCGCTGTCCCACAGTGTGTCATAAATGGGATACAAGTCTGTAAAAGAACTTTGACACCCGCTTCTAATGTCTAAAATTTGATGTCAGCTAGTCGTCATTCTCAGCTCTGTACATCTGCGTAAATAATAGCTCAGAACCCTTTTTTTACATTTTATTAGTGAATTATGTAACCGTGAATCATCTGCAGACTTCTAACCACAACACGAATAATTTTTGAACCTGTAGCATAAACCAGATTTTGCACGTACCAAAAAAAAAAAAAAAATCAAAACAAAAAGAAACCTCCAGACCTTTTATAGCAACCCTGCAGCAGCTGGCTTGAGAATAAGTGATGTGCAGTTTCCCTGGGGAATCCCTCTTGTAGGTGGATAATGTTCAGCTGCCCTCCTCGGTTTTTGGCCTGGGCCTGAGTGATGGTACCCATCCAGCAGGATTCTCATCCGACACCAACAAAGAGAAAAGATACTTTTCTGCTGGGTTACACATCTAAAAGCTTTCTGTTGGAGGGTCCAGGAATGCTGGTGTGGCCAGATGAAGAGGAGACGAGTCATGGATGCATCAGGAGGGCCTAGGAAGGCAGGGCAGTGTTAGAGGAGCCAGCAGAGATGTTGGTCTTGGCTGTGTGGAACCTTAGCCCGTTCCCATGGCAAGCGGTGAGCTCGTTTGTTAGCTCACCACTGTGTAAAGTCCCAGTCTTACTCATTTTAATGTAAATACAGGTCTTGTATGTGAACCACTGCTGCTTTTTGTGGACAGCAATCACTGCAGGCTGCACACATATCACAGAATTTCTCAATCATATCCACTTTCACTAATGATTCTAACCCTGCCAGCTACCCATCTCCAAGAGAAGGCTGTTCTAACCATATCTGCCAGTTCCCTCAAAGATTTTATAGCAGCTGCATAATCCCTTTTAGGAGTTGCATAAGCATCTTTTCTTCGGTTGTGTCCTGGCACTCGCCACTATACTTGGAAAAATAATATAGGCCTTACATTATTTCTAGCCACCTGTCAGTAAAATTCAGGCCAAGAGCCATGAACTAATAGCCTTGCTCGTGTCCCCTTTAGATTGATGTGTCATCCGACCTGGGTGGACATGCCTCAACTGGATTGCCTGACTCCAGATAACCCCTTCTACAATACGCTGCTGCTTGGCCCTTTGCTGGTTTGGACGAGGCACAGAACATTCCTTTTCGCAAAGATAGTGTCCCCAAACTTCTTGAAAATAAATAAATAAATAAGAATACACGAATGTCGTCCAGCTTTCCAGGAAAAGCGTTGGTACGACGCGTATCAGTTTAGTCAGGACATCTACTCGTTTTACGGTCAGCTTTTTGTAATTGAATCTGCCCCAGTAAAATCCAGGAGTTCTTTCTAGTAATATCATACTTCACAGACTGGTTCCTGTCTATAATGCAGACATGCCCTGCAAAGAGTGTTCTGCTCGTGGCAGCGTGAGCTTGTGACTTCTGAGATATATTGGTCTCCTATTGCTGCCTGTTCTTGAGTAGCTTTCTGATCTCTCCACTGCTTGGTATGGCTTTTTCTGCTAGTTGCAGTGTGATTTTGGTAGCTGTGCGAAATCTCAGGGATTTGTGGCTATGCTCCAGTTGTCATGCGATTTTCTGTTACTGTGTCACTGTCCTAAACAAATCAGGTTTGCTGTTCATCTTGAGGAATTTCTTAGACCCTCCTTGTACCTTCACTTAGGGTCATCTTGACACACTACTCCTTTGTGATTGTAGTGAGTAACCAAAAAGAGCAAGCAAGCCGTGTTGTGGGTACATATTGAGTAGTCAGCTGATTATCATCATCAGTACTTAGATGATAGGAAGACAATAATTAACAAGAATTAACAATAATGCTGTTTCTCCATAGTAGCTTCTGTTGGTGTTCAGGACAGCTCGGCTCAAGAACTGCGCTGCATATTGCTTTGCTCTTTCCTGGGTAGGGCAAAAGGGTGAGGCAGTGGATTGCACGTTTATTTCTGTATAAAGAAAAGATTATGGTGGTAAAAAATAAGACACTTTAAAGATGAATAGTCAGAATTTGTGTATCCTAAATAGCGTAATTAAGTCAGTCCAATTGTTTTAATAAACAATAGCAGAAGCCTTTGTGAGAAATGTTAAGGAACAAACACAGTGAATATATGAATAGTTTCAAAGAGATCAAGGAAAAAAAGATGGAACAGACAGTTCAGGAAAAAATAGCTTACCATTATTTGGTGAGGGTGTCCAGCTCTCACAGACCCATTTCAAATTGTCTTTTTAGTTATCCTATTTTTAAGTCTTCTCTTTTCATTTTAATCTTTTTCCTTTGCTGTTTTGGTTTCATTACCATCGTGATTCCGTGGTGAATCCATGGGAATTCCGTGGGAATTAGCAGCTGGATCACAAACCATCATTTTGAAACTTCAACTAAATCAAGGTTTGCCTCTTCCAAGGTAGCAATGAGTCAAATGTGATGTTAGTCTCCTTTAGGATTCCCATACATGTATTGGGGCCCCAGTAAGCAGTAGGCCAAAAAATGAGTACATCTGCAGTTGTCAAGATTTGTGCCTGCATTGCTGGTTGTAGGCATGGTAAAGGGCTTCATTGTTGGCACGTTCACATGTAGAGCCTTGTGGAGTATGTAGCTTCAGTGCATACCAAAGTCTGATCATCCATCTGCCTAGCACTGCTGGAAACCCCGAACATGATAGCTTGCTGATCCCTTTCCTGTGCTGCTGATTCCAGAGCCCATTTCAAAATGTCTGTGCTGATGTACAGCTGGGAAGGTATGTCTGTCTTTTGGTGTTCCTGGCCTTCCACCGTCATATGTTCTCCTGAACTAACAAAGCTATCAAAGGAAGTAGATACGGTCATGTAGATAAGAGAAAACTTGCCAGTTTTAGCACATGTCTGTCTGTACTGGCAGGTGTAGGATGCTGTAGGAGAGGCTTTGTGGAGCAGAATGTGGTGTGGGAGATCTGGTCCTGCTATATATGTTTTATATGAGTTTTACTCCAGCCTGGCTGTGGTCTGGTCCTGGTGGACCAAATGCCTTTTAGCAGCTGGAACACAAGTTCAGGTTTCGTTTCATCCGAAAGGAATCCAGTTTGTGAGCTCAGAATGCTGCTCCACAGTGCAAACCAAAACATGGGGAAGATTGAGAGACTCGCTTCAAGAGCACACCACTGATGTGGACGGAAGGACTGGGGTGGACACACCCGTGGGTGACCAGACATCAGACCAATCCATCTTCTTCAGTTTGGCTTGTTCTGAGGATTCCTATTGTCATACATACACACAGATGCACAGTCGTAAACAGATAACCCAGACACTAAGCTGCTCCTCTGACACTAACAAGAATTAAAAAAGTGGATGTTCAGTTTTCAAATACCTGGGAGTTGCTGAGTCTGATGTTGGTAACTGTGTAGTCATCACCGCAGCTGATAAAGTCCAGGACATTATCCTGTTTTATCCTTTTTCCTTCTGGAGCATCTAAGACCACGCTGAAATGCTGACATTGTTCTGCCATAGCTGGTGTGTATTAACTTGAAAGAGGTAAGTTTTCCTTCCCACGGCTACCCTAGAAATCGCTGACAATTTGTGCTGTACCATATGCAAACAGATACTTGGAATGGTAAGTGGGGAAACCAGTCTTAAACACTATTAACTTTAAAAAGGAACAAGTTCAAAGCCTACTGCAATATGGACACTTAGGAGAGACTTGTGCATGTTACCTAAGGAGAGTAAGGTGGTGGTCCTTTTCTCCCTCAGTGCAAATCAGGAATTTCTGGTTCTTTCAGGCTTCATTTTGGTGAAGTGATAGGGTAGAGGTATCATCTAGATAGAGCAAAGCATGCACACCACAGTAATCACGGCCTCTCCATCTCCCCAGCATCTAGCTTCGGTGCCGAGGTTTCCTCCCAGAAGCAGGCAGGCTGCTGGGGGCTTCACCCCGCTCCTGTGCGGGGCCAGCTTTGAGCCAAAAAGCGTGTGTGGGCCGGGGCAATGGGGCAGGCAGACCCGGGGAGGTTTGGGCATTTCATTGTAAGCACATTGTTAGTGCTTATCCTTCTGAATGGCAGGAGGGCGAGTAACAAGTTGTTACAAGCATTTATTGCAGGCAAATGTAAAACTGAGCTGTCAATATGTAAGTGAGTATGTGATTGCCTGGAGACGGCGTCGCAGTAAGCTTAGGTAATGAAAACTGGGCTGAGATAACAGTTGGTGCACCATACAGAACGGGCAATCGCTTTACAGATTTTTCCTTTTCCTGTTTTCTTCTTCCTGTAGAGAATACATATTGCACTGAAGACAGAGATATGGAAAGCCTTGGCAACTACTGCTGTGCCAGAGAGTTGTTCTGCTCAGGAGGGGTGCAGTTCCCAAGAAAGACGTCAAATATAGCAATTAATGTTCTTCCTTCGTGTGATGGATACTGTCTGTATTTAGAAACATCTGAGCTTGTGCTCGAATACAAGTCACGTAGCTTTTTATTGGTACAGTGAAGAGCTTCAGTGTTTTTGCTCATGATACTTGAGGCTTTGCTCCCAGACATAGTTTAGAAATGCGTGACATTCCTTTTACGTTTCGAAGCGAAAAGTGAGCCAGGGTGAGCAGGAAGGACATTCCATAGCTCGGTGAATCTTTTAGCAGTTTTTCATTGTGTCATATTTGTTTTCAGAGAAGCAACTTTAAACTGGGGCAATAGGAGCAACAAAATAGTGTTTGCCTCACATAAATAATGTGAGCAGAATCTGCTCATCTATAGGGAGTGCTCGTTGAGTCAATTGCTATTAAGATACAGTTTTTCTCTTGACAGCCTTCCCTTGGACTGTTCAAAATGTAGTATCATCAAAATAAACAATATTTTAGTTTTTCTTCCTTCTTAGCTGCCTGTTTCCCTAACAGTGAAATGCTAGTAGCCTCATTTAAAACAATCTGTCCTTGTACCCAAGTCTCTAATAGCTGGGACGTGGCTCCAGAAATTCTGCTATGTAACAAATCACTTCCTATATCCTTGTCATATTTTATACCTTTTTTTTTTTTTTAATTTCCCTTTGTTTCTGAATGTAAACAGCAGCAAACATTATGTTGGTTATTTCTCTTCCTGTCCTCCCTCTCCTCTTTATCTCCTCCTGTTTGGAGGAAAAGTGCTAAAACACGAATTTGTTGTTTTCAAACCAGGGACTGCTAATTTCTGTCAGGAAAACTGTCACTTTTGCCTTAAACATACTCACTTTTTTTTCTAGTTTTGTTTTAACCTGCGTGGAAATAATCGCTCTCTGAATTGACAACGTGTTTTCTGTAACCTCTGTGAACCGGTAAGGAAGAGTTGAGGCCTGAAAGGAAGATTTGAGGCAATAACCTCAAATTTCTCAATATAGTAATACTATAAATGGATATTTCCAAGGTCTTGTAAATATATATGTAGAAATGTTATCAGATACTGCCAGCACAATCCTGAGGTCAAGCAAAGAGTCGCCAACCAGCCCAGATACCTAACTGACAGCACAGGGTCATAGCTTTCTCTTTAGGCAAAGCTCGCTTGCAGCCCACGTGTGTAACCTTAACTCTGCTGGAGCCCTCCGGGGTCACCTTCGCAGCCTGTAGAGGGACAGAGGAGGATCATGTGCCTTGACCTCGTATGCCACCACTGTGTCATGGTAGGCCGTGTTGTACAGCGGGATGTGCGCCAGGCACCCGATCAAAATATCATCCCTGTCCCCGCTGCCTCTCCACCCTACACCTCTCCGCCTCTCCTTGCATGCCTTGTAATATAAGGAAGGAGCGTAATCAGAGACTATTAGATGAGAAAAAATAGACTTTGTGCTCAAAATGCTGTTTACATTCCCAATTTCACTTGGTTTATGCCACAGGCCTCCCATTTAACCTTCAGCAAGTTATCTAAGCCTGGATTCTGCGTATGAAAAATGAAAATAATGGCACTTCTTATCAGCAAGTGAAATTAATGTTAGGGAAAAACTGGCATACTGGCTTTGAGGAAAAAAATATGAAAAAAATAGATATTTAAGGATATTAGATATTAGGGTGGTTGGGTGAGCTATGTCAGAGGCTGTTGTAGCTTCCAAGAGTCGCAACACCACATCGAGAGAGAGATACAAAGATGCTTTTTTATGAGCTCTGAATGAGTGCTGCTTCTCTCTAGAATCATGTGCAGACTCATCCCTAGGATGTATTTGTTTATACAGAGGGTGAGAATATAGAACATATCCAGGTGTAGTTACTAGCCAGAGAAATTCACTTTGTATTTCAGAGCGAAGAGGGAAACTTCAGCTCAAACCAAGCAATTTGTCCATGTTACAAGCAGCTAAAGAGAGACTAATTAAGTGTGTAATTAAATGAATATGCAGAAAATAGAGATTGAGCATATACTGTCTGTGTAATGGAATACATTTTAAAACAAAATAAGTACACAGTGAACTTTGAGTCACTTTCAAGTACAAATACATGTTTTACAGTCTAATGCTACACTCATTTTTATTTTCCATTTAACTGTTAACCATACTTTTACCAAAACTTTTCAATATAAAAGCCAAATATTTAAGACCACACGTAATATTCAGAATATTACAGCATGAAATCATCATAAGAATAAAAATAAACAGGTCATAAGCAATTTTTGGAGCTTTTCTAACAGGAAGGCATATCTTGTGGGAGAACAGCTTTAATAGCCAGGTATGAAAAATGAAGGAGGGGACAGCCCACCCTTGGTTTTGAATTAGGTTTCCTGTTAAAGTTGTGGTGGGAAGCATTTTTCCCGGAGGAGGATGTATGCCGTTCTGGTGTGTTTGCCTAAAAAAGCTGAATTCGGTCATTGTGTCTGTGTTTTGGCTTCTTTCCCACACTGAAAGTACCGAGCAAACTCCCGGCTGCTGCTCCCTGTGAGCTCGATATCCTCATTAAAGATCAGGGAAAGGAAAGGGGAAAACCCAAGGAGGTGAGTGAGTTCATTTACATACTGTGCCAGGGCCAGCGCATGGCTCCACACGTGATACGACAGCAAACCTTTTTGCTGAATTTGCTAAAGCCATTGAGAGGCGTTTCAGCCTGCACAGATCTAACACGGACGGTTCTGATTTACAGGCAAGAGTGAAAGTGCTTTATAACCGAATTGCATAACGCAAATAACACGGCTCGTACTTAGTAAGACACAGAGCTGCGACAGCGTTTGATGTTTATTGTTTTGTTGCTGGTTTTGTTACTCTTAAAGCCTGAAGCATTTGATAATCACTATCATTCCTGTCTGGAAGGAGGATCTGTATTCCTGGGAGTCGTACAGTCCAGCTGATGATTTTGCTAGGTGGAAAAGGCAATGAAAAGCACCTAAACTCAGCTACGCTGATGTTTGTCTTATGCTGTGACATCTGCTTGGACACTTTTTTTTTTTTTCTTTCAAACTGGCTTCTGTCATGGTGCTGTTTCACTGCTGTTCCTGAGCAAAGAGCCCCTGCTGCTGCCCAGGACTCTCCAGCACCCACCAGTTACCATCCGCTGGTGTTTTCCTGGGTTAGTTCACTGAAGCTGCCCCACAGACATGTGGGGAGCAGGGCTGGGCCCTCTTCTGAGGGTTAGCCAGCTGTTAGATATGCTCAGCTGAATCATCCAGCTGCCTGCATTTGTCCACACTGAAGAGTTTTTCTGGATGTGGAAAGGGTTTCAAGAGAACATCTTTATCTTCTTTTCTGAATTTGCTTATATCCTTCTAACTGAGAGTTGACCATAAGCAATTGAGACTTGCTGACACACAGGTGGAGCAGCAACCTCTTAACATTGCTTAGCAGTGGCCTGATTATCAAATATGTTGCTTAGTAGTATAG